TCTCTCTCTCTCTCTCTCTCTCTCTCTCTCTCCCCATCTCCCTCTCTCTCTCTCTCCTTCTCCCTCTCCCCCTTTTTCCTCCCTCCTTCTCTAGTCCTCTCTTTCCCCTCCCCCCCTTATCACCTTGCCTTCTCTCTCCCTCTCTCCCGTCTCCTCACTTGACATATGACTAACCCTCCTTCCCTCACTTGGAAACATTGCCAGGGTACGGACGCTGAATGAAATCAGACCTCACTTGGTGGAGAAAGAGGACAAGGGGAGGATAGTCGGTCCCTTGTGTCACCAAGAAATCAAAAGAAAGGACGTTTGAAAAAAAGTGAGAAAAGGACGAGATCCGAAGAAAGCATAAGTTGAAAGAGAGGTCAGTTTACCTCAACCATTTCCCCGACTACATGACTATGAGAAGAGAATGGGTTGATTGAGCAACAAGATGGAACAAAGAGCAGCCAAATAATTTGAAAAGATAGACGTGTCGGAAGGGCTATGTGTTGACCCCCAATGGGGGATTGTATGGATCTTCTTGCTTGTGTGAGATTGTGCAGGTGAGTGATGGCTAAAAATGTCTTGAGCGGGATAGGGGCGAGAGGAACTGGGCACCAAGAGGGAAAGGGAAGGGGGGCAAAGGGGCTATGGGACCCTTGACATAAGAGCCAACTCATGAAAATGACTTTTGCGCTTGAGAATTGGAAGCGTGATTGAGAGTGCAATCGTACCAAGGAAGATGTGATGTTGTGTGTGCATGCATATGAGGACCCTGAAAAGACTAAGGGGCCTACTTCAATAAGGTGGGAAACAAATTGGGAGACCCGATGGATGAGTAGAGGCGAGGGAGAGGACGGCTCCGCCGCACCCCGATGACGCCATATAGCCAAAATGCTTAGGGATGTGGTGTGTGGCCTAAGGATGATGCTTAGCCTACGCACAACAGAAAAGAAACACCAAAAGAATCCTTGGACTGCCTGCGCATTGGAAGGAGTAATTGCATGAGAACACAAAAAAAAATCAAAAAAATATCACCGTTGTGGAACGATCAGTGAGAGGGTTGAGCTACATCCGCAATGTCAAAGCTCTCTTGCGCGATGGCCCACCCCCATCCATCTCAAAGCACTAGGTGAGGGTGACCTCGGGATGAACAGCCCGTGCCCTGAGCATAAGCGTGGGCGGGCCGAGCCAACTGGGACCCGCAGTGGGGTCGACTAAGGCTCGAAAGTCTACCGGGGTTTGACCCTACAACGTGTCGTTGAGCTTAGGAAAGAACATTATGGCTATCGTCTCCTCTAGTTGATCGTGGAAGGAAACCGGGAATGAGATGATGAGAAAGTACCTGAACGCGGAGAAAATGGCGACAGAGGCTGAATTGGCGGCAGTCCAAAGGAAAAACTATGCTACTTATAATGACTTTCTGAGGGCGTTCATTCTAGTGGCACTGCGAATCCCTGGGGTAACGGATCGAATAATGAGCGATTACTTCCTTAGGCAGTTCTCCGAGTTCGACAAAGATAAGATTATGTCAGCTTACCAACAGACTAGCAAGTTCGAGTACACTAGGGATGTGGACTTCAGCACGGTAACAAACCTCGCAGAAAAGACAGTGATGACCGACTTGCTACCCCTGCTTAACGAAGGGGAGGTTATAGACTTGACTGGGAAGACAGGGGATAAGGTCAAGAAGGGGATAGAGAGCTTGTACAAACGGGTGCACGGGGTTGACAGCAAGATGGAAAGAATGAAAAATGCTCTATTAATAATGCAGGCGCAGGTGTCCCGACCCGCCTCCCGCCCCAAGAGGCCGTAGTTCCGGTAGCAGTGGCGAATCGGGGGTATGGCAGAAGGGATCCGTCCAATGAGTAATGCAGGTATTGCACAATGGTCGGACACCTCGTGCGGACTTGCCCAAGACTCAACCATGATATCATGAGACAAAGATGCAGCAGGTCCCTTAAGGGTGAGATTCTCGGGCCCTAGGAAGAGCGCGTAAATTGGAATTCGCCAGGAGGAATGCGGCGTGCCGTCATCGTCCTGAATAACTTGGATATAGCCGCCGTAAAAGCAGAGCCGGTAGCCGATATTGTCTGGGACCAACCGAGGGGACGTGGGCCACAGGCCAATTTCATCCTAGAGGGCAATGGGCAGGATAGGGTAAACATCACCACCCGACGGGCCGGTGCGGAAAAGAAGCTTATTCAAGACACGGTAATGGAAGAGGTTGCTGGGACGGGCACAGATCATGAAGAGACTGAGACCGGGGAACAGGAGAAGGCCTAAGGGAAGGCAAGGGAAGAGGAGCCGATAGACAAAGTTGCAGTGGCAAAGAAGAAGTTCAGGTATCAAATTTCGATCCTGACTTCGCCTGAAATCGATGGCACCCTGAGTAAGCTGCTGGGTACCATGGTATCGGTATCCTTCCAGACCATGCTGCAAGCCAGCCCCAGGCTGCTTAAAGGACTCAGGCAGTTGCTAACGCGCAAGCGCGTGGAGGTAGAGGAGGCCCCAGAACCACAAGAGCAGGAAACGGAAGAGTCCGAGACGCCGCAAGGGGTCTCGAACCTCCAACGAATTCCCGGAGATCTTGAGGACCTGGAAAAGGCCTTTGCAGACATCCGCCTAAGCCTACCGGACCGATAAGGGGGTGAAGTCATGAGGGCGCCGCCCGGGACGAAGCTTAGCTTCCATGCCTTGCCCGTAGGAAAGTTGAAGGTCCAAATCAGAACCCACCACACGGATGCATTAGTGGATGGCGGTGCGGAAATTACCCTCATACGACGGGATTTTGCAACGATTACTGGCTGCACCGTAAACAAGGAAGTGATGGGAAGTATTCGGGGAGCTGGCGGGGAGATTCTCTTTGCAAGGTACGTTACGAAGTGCGCAGTCAGGGCGGGGATCAGGGAATCAATCTGGTCCTTCCAGCGGATAACCGTGATGGACAAAATTAACCATGACATAATTCTCGGAAGACCGTGGTGTGCCAATGTAGAGATGATAGGTATGCATCTGCACGATGGCACATACATGGCAGACATACAGGAGTGACCGGCCGTGGAGAACTCCTCCCACTGCTTGGGACCGGAGGCGATCCGCCGAAAGGCAAATCGGCAACTTGGTCCCCGACGTTCGAGGAGAGCGCACGAAAAGGGGCGTTCGCACGAATGAAAGGAATGAGGGAAAGAGTAAAAATCATGATTGAGGAGGCCTTTAGCAAGCAGGAGTGGATCAAGATGGGTCTGCCTATAAAGAAGAGGAGGCAAGAGGACAAGGCCCTGGAAGCTATGGTGGCAAAAACAGAGTCGGAAGTCGAACTTGGGGCCAGCCTGCCCAAACCAAAGGAAGGCCGGAACGAAACGCGAGAAGTGGTGCTTGAAATCCCAGACTTGTTACAACTCGTTAAGGCCATCAGGTACCACAAGGTGGGGGTAGACCCCACAACACTTGCAAAATTCGAAGACGGGGTCCGAAAGGGCTACTGCCTGAACGGGAAGCTAGTCAACATCCATCCCCACGTCTTGGAGGTAGCAAGGTCAATCCCGACCGTTCATTTCTTAGGAGAACGATCCCCGAAGGCAGTGCGCGAAAGTACAAACCCGTAGGAAAGAAGGCTAAGCCTGTCTCGATCCTAGTGGAGACATCAAAGGAAGAGGCCTTGGAATAGGAGGAGGAGGTCCTGCGGGTAATAAGGGAGAGGCGAGCAGCGGAAGCGCATCGGATACCTGATCAAGTAGCAGAAACCATGAAAATAGGGGTGGAAGGGTTCTTAACAACAATGGGAACTCAACTGATAAGGAGGACGTGCCAAGAGTTTCATTTAGCCTTTGCCTTCAATGATCACCAGAAAGGACGGTTAGATGCGAAATTAATCCCCCCTGTTAGGATCCACACGGTAGAGCATGAGTGTTGGAAAGATAAAGGGTCTGCCCATGAGTTTGGGATAGCGGCAGAGGTCACCAACCTGCTTAGAGCCAAGATAGATTCATTAGTGGCTGAACCCACCGCATCCCCCCTAGTGGAACAAGTGGTTCGTTTTCCGGAAGCCCTACAAGATACTCAGATGGATCCACGACTTGTAGAAGCTTAATGCGGTAACAATTAGGGACGCGGGTTCGCTCCCACAGGCGGACTTGTTAGCCGAATCGCATGCTGGACGAAGTATTTACTCCCTGATAGACCTATACTTAGGATATGACCAGTTGCCGCTCGACGCAAGGGATAGACCGTATACCGCCATGCACACACCAGTAGGGCAGTTGCAGATGCAAGTGACTTCTATGGGTTTCACGAATGCGGTGGCAGAGGCGCAAAGGAGAATGCTGGTTATGGCAGGAGATATGTTTCCAGAGAAATGCGAGCCATATATAGACGATAACCCCATAAAGGGCGCGCAAAACAAGGATGAGACAGAGGTTGAGCCGGGCGTGCGAAAGTTTGTCTGGGATCACCTGCAGGATATCAGGGATCTGTTACAGCGGTTTCTGGTTTATACTATTACAGCAATTGGACCAAAGAGCATCCTGGCTGTTCCGGAGGTAACCATATTGGGGTTTCGCTGTGGGGCTTATGGGAGAAGACCCGACCCAACAAAAACAGATAAGATCTCCTAGTGGTCGACATCCCTGCGCACCACGACGGAAGTACGCGCCTTCCTAGGGGTGGTTGGGTTCTGGAGGATCTTCATCAAAGGATTCGCAAAGACAGCGGAACCTATCCGCACGATAATTAGAGAAGGTGGCACTATGGAATGGACCGAGGATAGAGAAGCGGCAGCCCAGACCCTTAAAGACATCCTGTCGTCCGATCAAGTCACCCTAGCACCACCCTGTTTCAACGATGAGGTAGGACGACCCTTCATCTTAGAAACAGATGGGGGATCGCTGACAGTTGGAGGAGTACTAATACAGAAAAGCGAGGAAGGCAAGGAAAGGCCAATCATATTTGAAAGTAGAACCTTGAACTCGGCAGAACGATGGTACTCACAGTTCAAGAAAGAGGTCTTAGCGATCCTGCATTACCTTAAGACCTTTCAGGCGTACCTGTTCGGGAGGCGGTTTATCCTGAGGATCGATCCAACCAACGTCGCCGGGGCACTTAAGAACTATAATCCTATAGACCCAACCGTCGGGAGACGGATAGGCTTCATATGGCAATTCGACTACAAGGTCGAGCGAATTGCGGGGCTCCGAAACAGGGCAGATGGGCTGAGTAGGGTGTGTATCATGCCGGAAGGGATAGAGGACGCAGAGCCAATTGACGCCTTCCTGGAATACGAGGGAGGGACCCTCGTCATGGATAATGAGATGGTGGACGCCGCGCCGACAATGGGTCAGCTGCTGATCCAGACTCTGGAAAAAAAAGTGCCCGCGGTAGTGGCGGAACTCAGGGAAGGACCGGTCACCACGTTTAGGCACAAAGAGGAAAAGGATTCATGGGGAGCAACGGTAGGACCCAAAGAGGAACTGATGGCAATGGCCGCTGAAGGGGGACGGGATGCTGTGACGACCCTAGTAGAGACTTGGGCGCAAAGGGAGTGGCGATACGTAGTTAACCAGACTCAGGAGGAGCAGGATGCTGATCGGAAGGAACGAGAATTCTTCCTTATACAGATGTATGAGGGCGTCTTCAAGGAAATCGGCCTACTGCTTATAGGAAACAAGCAGCCCACGGAAGTCAGCCCCAAGGCAAGGGAGGAAGCCGAAAAGTATGTTTGAAGGAACGACCACCTGTTCAAGAAGGAAGAGAGGATGATGCCTAGACGAGTCGTGTGTGGAAGGTCTAGGCAGTTAGACATAATCCAGGCAATGCACGATGGACTAGTTGGAGGGCATAGGTCATCCAAAGGGACCCTTGCGAAAATTGCACCACTTTACTTCTGGCCAGGCATGGCAGGAATGGTGACGACGTATTGCCAAACATGCTTGATATGCCGGGAGAGGAGTTTGGTACGTGTCTTCGAGCCCCTTAGACCTACCCGGGTACTAGGGCCGGGACACTTAGTCCACCTCGACCTTGCGGTCATGCCAGTGTCAACGGATGGATACAGGTACATCCTGGATGCAAGGGATAACCTCAGTGGCTTTGTAGAGGCGGTAGCACTCAAGAAAAAGACAGGGAAGGGAGTGGCCGATTGGATAGAGGATTTCTACCTAAGACACCCTTTTGTGCGTAGGTTCATAGTAGATAATGAGACGGAGTTCATCAATCAGGAGGTATTGAGCAGGCGTAAGACCTTGTGCTTACCCATCAAGATCATTGAGCCATATCACCCTGAGGCAAATGCACCGGTAGAAAGGGGGCATCGGAATTTGAAGAACACAATCGTCATGCTGACAGTGGATGATTTGGGAAACTGGTCGCGGTACCTTGAGCAGGCAGTCTTCTCTGAGAACATGACACCAAAGAGAACGACGGGGTGCATTCTAGCGGAGCTATGGTATAGAAGGGAGATTGACTTCCCGATAGAGGCCCTCGTCCCTACCTGGAATAGGCTAGATGATGATCCGCACTTGACCACGGAGGAGTTAGTTGTCGCATGTTGCCAAAAGGTCACCAGGAATGAGGAAGCATTGGAAGAAGTGGTTAATCGTGTGATGGATAGTCGGATGAGGGACGAGGCAAGGTGGGACTAGGTGAAGAATATCCGGAAGGAGCCGCTCCAAGTAGGGGAAAAGGTGCTAGTTAGGAACTCCGCTCTTAAAAGCACGTGGTCTGGGCAGTTGGGAAAAAGGTTCAAAGGGCCCTACAGGATCGCTAAGCGGGTGGGACTGAACACATTCGAACTTGAGGATCTTGATCGCACTAGCATAAGAGGGTCGTTCCCGGGACAAAGGTTGGCCAGATTTCTAAGCAGGGATCTTGTGGAACAATGGCTACAAGAGGCTCAGGACGGGGAAACAGGGGAATTGACAGCTTGAAAGGCAGGCAACTGGCTATAGGCCTAGACCGTCTCTCTGTGGAAGTAATCATGACCAGAGGGATTGTTCGTTTGTCTTGACTTTTGTGGAACGTGGGGAGACTGCCTGGGCTGACTATGAATGGGGTTGGGAGCATGGGACAATGTACTATAGTTTTTGTGGGCAACTCTGGGGACTGTCTACACGAGGTATCTATTTGCCGGGACAATGTACCATAGTTTTGTGGGGTGATGCTGTGGACCGCCTACATGAGGTACCTATGCGTGGGGGTCAATGTGCCAAGGGATATAAGGGGTGATGGGATCGCCAACTGCGCGGGGTTACGCAAGGGCTCTGGGAATGCCTGCAAATCTGCAAATGGGATGGGAGGGGTTGTGTGCGTTTGACGGGGTGCGATGACTGTTCTGCATGGACAGGACCAGACAAGAAGAAAGCAACAGGAAAAGAAAAAAAAAGAGTTTGGGAATGAGAATGACTGCAACGCAATCAACAGGCCGAACGAGCAGCAGCCAACAAGACAAGTTGGAGAGTCAAGCTCCAGGAAAAGGAAGTTGTATGTGGGGTTTGATCACAATCTGGTTGTGAACAGGGGGGGCAGAAAGCAAGGGACCAGGGGACCTTCACCACCGAGGGAGGGGGAGCCAATAGTCCTCCCATCAGAAAGTGGCACTAGCAGTGAGGAGGAAGGGAACCCGGGGAAAAGACAGAGATTGGGAGAGGAGGAGTCCATTGAAGTCATAGACCTCAGCAGCGAGGAGGAGGAGGATGAAGTGACGACACCCACAAGGGAAGTACGGAGTAGAGAGGAGGATCCGGGGGAAGAAAAGGACAAATGGATAAGAGAATTTGGGCCGTATTTCACCGACTGGTTTGACCAATGGGCCAGCATCCTGCGATACGAATGGGCAATGAAAGGCACGCAAAAGTTGAGCAGGGGGGAGGACATATCCCCATCGACTTTCTTTTTGGAGGAGGAGCTTCTTGGCCTACAGAGGTCAAAGAGACTAATGCAACAAGAGATTGAGGCTCGTGCGAGGGAGGCTCGGCGCAGGGCAACTGGGCAGTAAAGGGATAATATGCAAAATGGGGGTTAGCTAGAAATTGGGGGAGGGTTGGTACCTGGGCAGGTGAGACTGTTATTTTGAATTGCGCATTTGAACTTTTTTTGAATGGTCTGCGATGAAACAACTTTTTGATTGACCAACGACTGGGTAACTAGTGCTACTTTCCAATAGTAGTGGCTTCTTCGGAAAGACATGTGGGTGGATGAGTTTGACACTGGGACTATGGAGGACTGAGGTGTAGATGAGACAAATCTGTAATGTTATGTTTTGCATTTGAACTTTGTCTCCTGCTTTTGAAGGACTGCGACAGAATAACTTCTTGGACTGAGAAAGTTAGCGAGGGATGAGTAGCTAGTGCTACTTTGTATAAGTAATCGCTCCTTTGGTAATATGAGCATTTTTTGTAGTAAGAAGGGGACTAAGGAGGATTGACTCTGTCTTGAGAGAGACGGGCAAAGGAACGTGGATTGTTGAAAATTGGAAGAAAAGTCGATGGCAGAGAGTTTTCTTTTTGAAAAGTGTGTATCCTTGGTTGAATGAGTCATCGCATGAGTCTTTGTGAGAAGTTAGGGGACCTATGGGTAAAGAGGCGTGAAGAACACTCTTCCCTAGGAGCCTAATCCAAGAAGTCCCACGTCAGTCCAGAACAGCAAGACACATGAGAACCAGAAAAAGAGAAAACAGTGAGGACACACACCCTTTGCAATGGTTGAACGGCTGGGCGGGCTAGTGCTGCTTGAGGTTGCGACCCTCAACTCGAGTACTAGACGCTAAGTCGGATGTATGAATGGACATAAGGATGAAAAATGGTATGAGAAAGAGGAAGAAACATGCGTAAAAACCCAAGAAGATGGCCGCCTTCTGACCCCCGAGACGAGATAAGGTCCGTATCCTCGAGGCGCACCCCCTCGGGCGCTAACATTGCAATGGACAAGGATGACCCTAACCAGACCGTCCAATTGAAACGGACAAGGATGACCCTAACCAGGCTGTCCAATTGGAATGGATAAGGATGGTCCTAACCAGGCTGTCCGATTACAATGGATAAGAATGACCCTAACTAGGCTGTTCGACTTGGAATTGGAAAGAACGACCCTAACCAGGTTGTTCGGAATGGCCCCTGAAAAGGGTCATTCTTTAGAATTGGCACTAGGGTCCCCTTGCATGGCTGCTTGAGATGCATGATATTGGAAGAGCTGAGCTTTGAAAAAGATATTGGAAGAGTTGAGCCTTGGAAAAAGACATTTTGAAGAGTTGAGCCTTGGAAAAAGACATTGGGAAGAGCTGAGCTTGGAAAAGATATTGGACTCAGCCTTGAAAGAGATATTGGACTCAGTCATGGAAAGGATATTAGACTCAGCCCTGAAAAGGATATTGGACTCAGCCTTGGAAGAGATATTGCATTGAGAATTGGACTGAGATTGAGCATTGGATTGAGACTGAGCATGGGAATGAGACTGAGCATTGGAATTGAATTGAGTTTTGAAAATTGCACTGCATAAATAGGGGACCCTAGGCAACTTGAAATGAACTTGGAAAGAGCATTGAAATGAAATTTTTTGTTTCTTCTAGTCTTTGGCCTTAGCAAGAGGGGGATACCGGTGCACGCACCGCGACCCCGAGACCTCTATCCCTTTAAGGGAAAAAGTCTCAGCGCGACCTGTTCCTCTTTTAAGAGGATGAGGGTTAAAGGACCAAGGCACCTACCACTTGGATCGGTGTCGGCCGTCCGGAACCACCTCCGACAATGATCTCTAGTCGGGGAGTTCAAATTGGGACTCTTGTTGAATGCCTAAACGTCAAAGGACGAGAGAGTCATTCTCATCTAGTCTATTTTTGCTACTCTCCAACCACACGTCATGTCATAGAGGGGTGCCATGGCCGCTTGGATCGGACCTCGGCCGCCCGCATTAAGTTGGGCGGCACTGTCCAAGGGGAGGGGTCGGGCGAAGATACCGGGTGGAGTCCGTCACCAGCACGGGGCATTGACACTGCCCTACCGGAACATTACACTTGTTTCGGGACTCATTGCGAGATCTTCGTAACTGCACTCGCGGACTAATTGAGAGCCCCAACTCTCTTGAAATGAAGAGGTCGGATCCAGAAAATTACCACTCCGGAGAAACGATTCGCGAGGAACGCTTTTACGGCTAGACGAGGCCCTGGAAGGCTTGGATTAGACCTGCCTGCCGGACGTGAGGAGGAACCTCAGTATTTGTGCTCGCCACGTGAGAGAACAAAGGTCGGACCGAGTAGGAGGATGAGGCGTCGTTCGCTGGGGAGGAACTGATCACTCTTCCTTGTGTGAAGCGGACGGGTTTGTGTCCTTGACTGCGGTTGGTGGGCCAAAGGTTTGTGTACCTCCGAGTGAGAACCAGTCGCGCGATGGGGACATCGCGTTTTGAGTGAGGGGAAGGTGTGCCATCTACCAACGAAAACGCATGCAAAAGAACTGTGTAATTGGCTTGCGTGGGCCTGAGGAAAAGGGGCCAGGCAAGATGCCCAGAACAGAAAAGAACTGTGTAATTGGCCTTGCGTGGGCTTGAGGAAAAGGGGTCAGGCAAGATGCCCTGAACAGAAAATAATTGTGGGCTTGAGGAAAAGGGGTCTGGCAAGATGCCCAGAACAGAAAATAACTGTGTAATTGGCTTTGCGTGGGCTTGAGGAAAAGGGGTCTGGCAAGATGCCCACACAGAAAAGAATTGTGGGCCTGAGGAAAAGGGGTCTAGCAAGAGGCCCACAAGAGAAGAAGAATACTTGTGCGATTGAATTGGCATGAGCTTGACAATGGGTCGGGCGATACGTCCAAAAGAAAGAAAAAGACTCGTATGATTGACTTTGTATGGATCTGAGAAAAAAGACCAGAAGGTTGGGGAACGGATGAGTAATTGGGTTGCATGGGCCTGAGAAAAATGTCTGACAAGGCATCTGGAAAAAAAATGCACAAGGGAAGAATCGGGTATTGCACATGGAAAGTAAATTAAGTAAAGGGTAAGAAAGGGCAATGGATGATATGCATGCAGAATTGGCAAGACCTGAGAAAGGCCGGGTAAAATGACCCGGGGGAAATGTATGTGGATTCGGTAAAGCCCGAGCTTCGGGGAACGGTAAAGGGGAAGCATGGATTGCACGGGCCGAAAAATATATTATTTTGGGATGTGTTAAGAGCAATGAAGGGGACAAAGCCAAAATGGTGTCTACCGAAGAATGTTTTCTCAATGAAATGAGAAGATAGATTTTAGATTACGAAGCACTTAGGGGGAGTTGTGCCTATGTTCATCGATTCGAAGTGGGTATCACCACAAGCAAAGGCGGCGGTTGTACTGGACGAACATCCCCCTTCCGGAGCAAATGCCTGACATTGAGTCACATCCGAAAGCTTGCCTATAATTTGTTATCAACAATGCCAAGGCATATAATGAGAAAACCAATTGTGTTATGACAACAGATAGTCGTCCTGGGAATGAAAGTCAGAATGCCAGTAGTTAAGTGCATAAAGCAAGGAGAGCCTCGTCTGCTTCCCGTTACTGAAGTCGAAAGAATTATGGGTTACCCTGCTGGGTATACAGAGTTGACTGAAGAAGAAGGTCGTGTCTCGATTGAGGGGAAAATAAAGAGGCAGAGCTAGGATGAAAACGAGC